AATTCTATACATGCACATAAGGTGTTTTGATCAAATCCATGCCCACTCCCTCCCCTCCAGCTCCTCCCATATATCCCCATCACTTTTTTCTGACAACTTCATGTACTCTTTCTTTCTTTCTTTCTTTCTTTCTTTCTTTCTTTCTTTCTTTCCTTCTTTCTTTTAAATGGGGCTTTTTGCTGCTCTAACATTCCCCCCTCTGAAGAGGGAACCCTAAAGTCCTTTGGAACAGAGTATGTTGCTAAGAGCCCAAGGACATTTTGGCTTTTAGCCAAGAAACTGGCTACTTTGGTGGAGGGGGGGCTTTTTACCCTAACTGCCTAGCCAGTTCCTGCCTCCTGTTCTTTTTTTTAACTTATATGTGTGCATGTATTGCCTGTGTGTAGGTAAGTGCACCCAAGTCATGCAATGCCCACAGAGGACAGAAGAGGCTGTCAGATCCCTGGAACTGGAGTTACAGACAGTTGTGAGCTGCCATGTGGGTTCTGGGATTCGAACCTAGGTCTTCTGCAAGGTTATCACACCATCCTCTGAAGAGGTTACCCAAATTGCTGATGGGGAATTGGGATGCAGACGGCTCTGGCTTCTTCCATGCTGAACAGGGACACAGAGTGAGGCATTTGGGGTACCCCCTACAGTGGGTCTATCTAAAAGTCCCAAATTGCATAACTTTTAACTGTAGGGAGAAAAGAAAGTCCTTGACTGGTGCTTGGGTGATGTGAAGGAGAAGTAAGGCAAGAGTAGTTAGCATTTCAAGTTCTAGATAGGGAACCAGAAAAAGGTCAGAATGGGGCAAATTTCATATGTTCATATCAGAGTCCATTGGAATTTCTTGATGAGAGTTTCCAAAAGCATCCCTCTATTGGGTTCCCTCCTCATTTTCTTTTGTCTGCCAAGGCTGGACTTGAGAGTGATGGACTCAGAATTTGTTTTCAGGCACTTTGATAGCTGTTGGAGTGGCTAGAATCAGTGTCAGTTCCCTCACAAAGGCTTCTAAATAGGGGGAGAAAACAAATTCAGCACAATATTTAGCACAGTACTGTGTTCATTTTTAGAACAATAGTGGATTGTCTCCCTTAGCTACAGGTGGGCACTACAGTATTGTAGACCAAGATTTGAAGTCTTAAATCTGAGCAGCACTTTCTAATTAGAAGCAAAATCAAATCATCAATGAGAAATAATTGCCTAAATAACATTTTATATAATAACATTTCATATGGACTTAAGCCTAATGTCTGGGAAGTGTAATCCCTTGAAATCTTAAATATACTGACCATTTTAATCTTTGGTCATACTTTCCTTTTGGGTGTTTAAGACCATAAAATTGGCCCAAATAAACCAATTTATTTTTACTCTTATGGTCGTTTGAGGATCTGTTCCTCAGAGGTCACATGGGCTTGGGAGGAGCCCCTGGCTCCTTTCTTTTACCAATTCTGTCTATGTGAAGATAAGTCAAAGGTCCTGCTCAACCATGGCTGGCTTCACTTAGAAGCATGGAGGAAATGTTTCCTCTGTGTTGACCCTCCTCTTTATAGATTGGACACTGATTCAAAGTCCATCTGGTGGGGTCTCCATGGCCTCCCTGAGCAAGAGGACAGGTGACTCACCATAGTTACAGAACATTTTGAGAGATGCTCATAGTCCCCTAGAACTTAGTCGACCCTGGAGGGCAAGGAGCAAAAACTGTCCTTTAAGTACCTCTGACCAGATTAGTATAGGCCTCAAAGTATGGCTGTTAAACATCCAGGAACGTTGGTTCCACCACTCTGGTACTTTTAATTACCATGTGCTATGTAGATAAATCTTGAGCAAAAATCGAATGTTCTCAGATAAACCTTGATTAGACATATATTTTGTTCCTTAAACTAGTTAACTAAACTATGACCTTAGAAATTTTAAGATTATGTGTATATTATTTTTGTCTGTCAACAAAATCTACACAGACCTTGATCACTTACTTAGGTTTTCTCATTTTTTCTATTTTGAAAAATATCTCCATTCCCATTCCCATATCCTTTTAACATCTTTTACATTCTTATTTTCTTTTTTAATAATTATGAGACATAACAAATAAATTTTCCATCTGTTGTGAGAATTCTTTTCCTGGGATATTAAGCAGTGTTTATCCCCTTCTAAGGTTCTAGTGTCAACCCAGTGTTTGATTAAAGTTTTCCTGGGGAAGCAGTGATTTACTGAGCTTACTTAGAGAGATGACTGAGGGGTTGCTGAGGTGTATGAGTGACCTGAGGGTGTATGCACACTGGAAAGCCATGACCCACCATGGATCAGGCCTTCTCTTCCTAGCCTTCCCCAGATTATATACTTTAGTCATACCCAAATCCAGGAGACTCCTGTGTAATTAGGGCCAAATTACATACAATTGGCAGGGAAGAGTAGCTGGATACTCCAGTGAGGGTCCAATGACCCTGCTTGCCCCTCCTTTAATGAAGGAGCACAACCATCAAGAAGCCTAATCATGAAGATGTTTAGCAAGCAGGGACGACTGAAGTCATGATGATGGTAGTTAGTTCACCCAGAAGAGACTGTTGTACAGTATCATCTTATTAAAAGAATGTGGAATTTAAAAGAATTTGGTGCTAGGATCCACAAATGAGGGAGAACATAACGTCTTTTGTTTTTCTGAGACTATGTTACTTCATAGTATTAACAGGTTCTAGATCCATCCATTTACCTGAAAATTTCATTATTTCACCTTTCTTTACTGCTGAATAGAACACCATTGTGTAAATGTTCCACATTTTTGTTAACCACTTGTCAGATGAGGGGCACTTAGGTTGCTTCCATCTCTTAGCTATTGTGAAAAGAGCAGCAACAAACATGGTTGTACAAGTGTCTCTACAATGGGATGCGTTCTGTGGGTATATGCCAAGGACTGGTATAACCGGGTCATATGGCAGGTTCATTTTTAGTTTTTTAATAGTTCTCCACACTGTTTTTCCATAGAGATTGCATGAGTTTGTAATCCCACCAGCAGTGAATGAACGTTCTTCCTTCATCCACATCCTCACCAACATTGGTATCATTTGTTCTCTTGATTGGGGTAAGGTGAAAACTTAGGGTGGTTTTAATTTGCATTTCCCTAATTACTAACAATGTTGAACACTTTTTAAGATGTTTCTTAGCCATCTTCATTTTTTCCTTTGAGAACTCTGTGTAGGTCTTTAGCCCATCTTTTAATTGGGTCATTTGGTTTCTCGCTTCTTTGAGTTCTTTATATATTCTGGATGTTAAACCTCTGTCAGATGTGTCACTGGTGAAGTTTTTTTTTCCCCACTCTGGGGGTTTTCTCTTCAGTTTTTTGTTTCTTTTGCTATACAGACGCTTTTTAGTTTAATGGGGTCCCACTTGCTGATTGTTGAACTTAATTCCTGAGCAACTTCTGTCCAATTTAAAAAGTCTTTTCCTACATCTATATCTTGTAGGTTACTGCCAATTTTTTCTTCTAATAGTTTCAGGGTTTCCAGTTTCACAATGAGGTCTTTGATCTATTTGGAGTTGACTTTTGTGCAAGGTGAAAGATAAGGATCTAGTTTCAGTCTTCTACAGGTGGAGATCAGTTTTGCCAGTGGTTCCCTGTCCTTGGGTAATTTCCTCACATTCTTGCACTGGTCATTGCTCTTCTGGTGTCCCATGGGCCCCTTTGCTTGATCCCAGAGTACTTCTCCTCTAGTGATCTGTGATCTCTTTGTACTCTTAGCTGTCTCTTCAAGTCAGAGTTTGCATAGATTTTTTTTTCTCCCAGTTCCAGGGCCTGGAAATGTATTTGAGGCAGTTAGCAGTACAGTTGCAGGGCACACACATGGGTTTCTTATTTTTCAAGGATAATTGTTCTTTACTTCATTATATCTAGTGTTTGAAAATTATTGTTTGAAATGGTTCAGCCTATGTTTTTGGTTAATTAAAACAGGACAGTGTATTCGATCTCTTTGCCACATAACAGCAAGAAATGAAAATCGTGATACTGAGATTTACGATTTTGTGATTAATTCTAAGTGATACATAATATTGAACCAAAGGTATGAATGGAGTGAAAATATGAAGAAAAACTGATGTCTTCTGTATAGATTTTGATGTCTGCTCAGTGGATGGATTTTAGGGTGGAGGGTAAAACTTTAAATTGAGAACCAACTTTGGGAAGATTTAATATTGCATGTTTTATGTCTTTGATTAGGAGAATACTTAAAATGTTTTGTATGTTCTTCTAGAACCTTCTGATAACTTAAGGGAGATTCTCCAAAATGTAGCCAAGTTACAAGGCGTATCAAACATGAGGAAGCTGGGCCATCTGAACAACTTTACAAAGGTAAGCAACTTGAAACTGTGCTATCCAGAATTCTAGTACTAGACAGTAAATGTCTCCTGATCATTACTAAAAAGAAATTTTTGAATGTTTACTCATTGTTAGTATTTTTCTCTTATTTTTCTCATGGATTTTTGTCCTGTTTTAAGTTTTGAGGAGATGTGCTCCTTGCCTAGGCTAGTCTCAGATCCCTGAGGAAATAGAACCACAGTCATACCACACTATACCTCACTATGTTTGGCTGTCCTGTGGTTTTTGAATTGTAAAATGCAGTTAAGTAATAGAAACATGTTCGTATTGTAGAAAACTTGGTAGACTCAGCGAAGAAATATAAGATTCCTAATCACTGAGATGCCCATAATCCAGTCTTTCATTGACATTTATCTTGATAATATATCAACATTAGTTTGTGCTTCATTTTATCAACATAGGCGTAATTCTCATAGACATGTTAGAATTTCTTTTCTCTTATCCTGATTCTCTATTCCCACCATCTCTTAACGCCCAAGGTAAATTGTAGGAACCCTGATCCCAAATAAATTCTGATTGATCTCTAACAGCACCCCCAAATTCCCAGTGTGGGTGTAACCCTTGCAGTGCTAGTCAGCAATTTCATGAAGACACTAAAGTGTGTTTCATTTTAATAATAGTCTAAAATAGAAAACAGTGGAACTTTTGGATAAAGTTTTCCCCTTTTTAGTATACTAAATATAAATTGTTTTTAATGTAGGAAAATTATGTGTTTTAACTCATTGGTGCTGAAAGTCTGATCCACAGACTAGCTGCCCAGGTATGTCTGGTAATTTATTTGAAAACACACTCTTTTTAGTGCTACCTCAGATATTCTGAATCAAAACCTTCAGTTTAATAAAAATCTGTAGATGAATTTGAGTGTGCATCAGTTTGAATAGTACTGTTTTAATCCTTCCAAACATTTCTCTGCTAGGTAATTGGGCTATAGCTTAGATTGATTTTATTTATAAAGGCAAAAGTTTGAGAATGATATAGCAACTATGTAGCAATTATTTCTTCACTGTAGTGTTGTGTAGTTTTTTTTTTTTTCCTGTAGTTAGGGCAACAAATATATGTATTCATTTTTCTTTAGTGATATTTTAAAATATCCTACCATTTATT